GTGACATGGAATATTCAGATCAAGCAATTTAGGAAATTTCTTCAAAGAAATAAGCCTGTTATCGATAAGTTTTTAAATTAAGAAACCTCATAGATTGACCAATATATAAGATATAAAGTCAAGCGGATGTTTGAAAATCCGAATATTAGACATATGGGTCTAGCGAAAGTATTGCCTCCATTTTAGTTAAATTTTATTATATAGTGATTCTTTATGATTTCTGACATATTGGCGGATAGATGCGGGTCAACCGGAAGTTCGAAAATATTTCTATAAGGATTATGGAGACAGAGGGAAGTATTGACCCGATTTTAACCATTCTTAGTACAAGGGCATGCTGTCATCACAAAAATATTCTCACCTAATGTTTATGCTGACATGTACTTAAAAAAAAACGTTCATCCCACAGATGACTTTGGTCCCTTGAACCATAGTTATGGCACTTCATATGTTTTCGCATAACTTTGTATTTGTGGCAATAGGCTGATTCCGCCCATCTACAATACCAAACCCCTTGGGTGCAAAGATACACGTGTATGAAGTTTCATTAAGATATCTTAATTTTTACTGAAGTTATCGCCTACACAGCCGGAGAGACAGACAGACAGTCACTCGGAATTCAATTCGTCATTTATGTCAATTGATCATTTGTATGCCTTTATATAACTCGGTATCGATCTCGATTAGTTTTAAGTGATACAAACAACTGTTAGTAGCACAAAATTATTATAATCTCTGTTGCAACATGTTGCGAGAGTATAAAAAGCCTGAAATATACATTATGTTAGGATTCAATAAAACATGAAAAGTGGCTGACGATTAGAAAAAGTATACCAAATGAAAATGTAACGCAAAGGTTCCGTAAGGTCGTAGAGTCCGCTCTTCAGCGAAAATAGCAGGGGATTTGCTTGGAATAAATAACATAAAGAATGTTGAGCATTGAAACCGTTATACATACTTTTATAAATTCCTTTCATTAAGCTTGGACCGGTGTACTCGTAAGCCATAATAAATATTTCGATGAAATTTAACTAACAGGTATGTAGGTATTATGTAATTCATTCCATATGAACATAACCTTTTGTATAATTTTACAAAATATGATATTACATAGCTGTGATTTAGTTTGAATTTCTTAACAATTAGTTTTGATTAGTAAAACAAATTCCATGAAAACATCAACAAAATTACAACAACAAAGCTCATCACTCATCAAAACGTTTGCACTTTGGATGCAAGAGTCAGGGATTATGACGCACTTGCCAAGGAAGACCTTTAAGCAGCTGCTTGCAACAACTACTTTGCTACATATTGAATGACGAAATATAAGATAAATTGAATTAAGAAAATAGCATTACACAGTGTATGTGCCTATCTGAGTATAAAGTAATGCAAGTTTGTGTTACGTAGTTGGCTAAGATTATGTTCATACGAGGATTATTTTTGTCGCCCAAACCGGTTTTTGTAAGCAGAGGGAACTACGAGGAAAAACGAAGTGATCGTGACGAAATATTGTTGTGCACCGCCTGCATAAAGCGTATAAGAATTTGAGCATGTGATATGAAAGAAAATGCAGTAGAGTGTCCGGCTACATATGTCGCAATCGTGTCGCTCGTGTGCACGAAATGGGCGACAACAAAAGAGACTTTGCCGATAATGAGCGACAAAACTAGTCCTCGTCCGAACGCAGTCTAAGAAGAAAAAAATGCAACACATGCAACTACTATTGCACATTTACTCATACATTATTAACAGCGTATACATTGTGGACAAGTAAAATAAAAGCAAAATAGCTTGAACTCTTTAATTCTGTACGTGACGTGGCAAAATGCGCTACGAGCATTGATTGTAAAATGAGAGTGCATGGAAATATGTACAAGTACGTACTGTACATATATGACCATGTTTCTAAGTGGAGTGTACATGAAAATTGTACACTTTAACAAACAAAAACAGAAACAGAAAATTTTAAATCGTATTAACTATAAAAAGTGAATAAGTAAACTCTAAACGCGGTGGAAAAATATGATTACCTTAAAGAAAAAGGCATTTATGCGGAACCTTTGTCACGATTATAAGCTTATATCTTCTATTACTAGACATAACATAATCTATTGTAAGATTTAAGATTTGCATTAGAATTAAACCTTGAATTCCATTCTTCAAACTGCATAATATTATTTATTTGCTATACATTTAAATCAGCGTCATTATACACAAAAAACACCGCAAATGTTCTACAAAGTCACAAAATATATCATTTCATGAAATTAATACCCATTTCATTAATATAATTATTAATTATATTATATTTGAACAAAAGTACGAACAATATAAATACTAAAGCAATTAACGCATACCTAAATATTTCGCCAACAATTTTACAACTAATTATCCTTTATCCTGTCAAAGCGACAGCCGCAGGCTTTACTTCAACTTAAGCCAACCTAAAATGGCTCATTAGCAGGGAAACCGGCGAGGGGAGCTGCCTCGCCAGCTGCCAACCGCCACCTGCAATTTCATTATCTACTCTTCTATCTGGGTGTTCGCATTGTCGTTTTTCGTTAGCTAAACCAACAATTAGCGATAAACAGAAATTATATGCGCTGCTGGAAACTGTGATTTATCGCTATGAGACAGATAAAACAAACGAATTGACTTTTCTGAGAAAACGCAATGAGGATATATAATATATTTGTAAATGTATCTGTTCATAATAATATATTTTTATTCGCTCTCTAATTGCAACCCATGGGATCATTAAACCTAGTGAAAATTGTGTTACTTTGGTAAAATTTTGTACAGATATTTCAGCATTCGTTGGGTATTAAGCTAGTCATATGTACAGCGCTGTCCAGTCAACTGGACATTAAATTTGGGTTTTGTTAGGGCTTAGTTCCCACCATATAAAACAAAATCTCATGAAACACTACAAACAATCCTCGGAAATTTGACAACACGTTGATGACTACCGCAATAGGAAAAAGGACTACGCTCTTAGGACATCAACGTGATAAGTACGAACCCTCTATAGGGGAGCTGCTTCTAACCAACGGGTGGAAGCCCTCGTTAAATGCAGGGCTGCCATCACCGCCTTCCAGGAGATGAGATGAACAGGACAATTTGTGACATCTGCTAAAACTGCCAAGCGGAATGACGTGAATTTGAATGTAGATTTTTTATTAGAAAGAGATTCCACCTCAACTTGTCTCAGTGAACGAAAAACTATTCGTTTCAAGAGACGATTTTTCAATATCACCCCAAATGCTTGCCTATAGCACCAGATTTTCCCACCGCTGATGTTACAATTTATGTCGTATTTACGAGATATCTGATAGAATAAGATATTAAAAAGCATATGAGAAGAAATAGTATTTCGCTAAATTTAATGTAGTGTTTAGGTACTAAAAGTATATAAAATCGGACCATAGTTTCCTTAAGCTCCAATATATACCATATACATATACATATACATACAATGCTTTCCTATACTTTCCTTAAACTCCGATATTTACCATATATATATATATACATATAATGATTTTGTTCAATCTGTTTTACATTAAATAGTCCGATGCTATGCTAGGCTATTAGAATGCAAGCTTACTGAATGTTACTAAAATGACCGGCTTCTGGATTCTTGTGGAATGCAATACAGCTAAACCAAAGATATATACTACTAAGCAGCAACTTTTAAGATACCTTGTATCAAAAATATTTTAAATAAAGTAAATATCTCGACCCCACCTACTATGATTACTCCTCAAATCACTTGATAAAAGTAGCCTTCAGTAAATGTTTCAGCTCAGTTATGCTCTTAAATATAAGTAACTTACTTACTAAGTGAAACCTCGAATCATTTGGATAAGGAAGAGTTTAAGGACGCATAGTAAATATTTTATTTAATGCAGAGCAAAATTGTTGTTAAAGCCATGGCTATAACCTAACTTTTAGGAACATTAATGTTCGGAAACAAAACTCTTGAAATTATAACGGTATAAAGTCGTTAAGATTTGTTATCAAACGGTAACTTGATATTAAGAGAAAGCATATGTTCTCAAAACTAGTTGTGTAACCTTCAATTCAATGGAAATAATTAGAGCAGATATTTGTATTAATAAATTATTAAATATGAAGGTGTAAATGTTAAAAGAGTTTAATTACCATTTGGTGAGAAAATGTGAAACTAACTCTCCCTTCACTTTTAGCGCCAGTACTTTTAGCCAAGGTAAAGATATAAGTAGTAAAAATTCACGACAAAGCACCAAATCGGAGGTGTGTTACCGTGAGTACTTAATATTAGCCGTGTTCGATTCGCCAATCCTGCACTCCAAAAATTTTACATGGAAGCAACAACAAAGTTAGCGAGTTGAATTCGATAAAAGGGAGTATGGTTCTCATTAAAATGCTTTACGCCTTTCGTAAACGCTACTAAATTTTTACTATTGTGAAACTAACCGATGTCAAACACAAAAATACAAAGATTATTTTATTCATTTTAAAAACTGAAGATTTGTGATAAAATATAAATTTTTATAGAAAACTTAAGGCATGGATGGTTTTCGAAATTAAGGTATTACTAAAATGCTTTCTTTCATCAATGATAAAAGGATTCGCACAGCATCTAAGTGCTGTCAGCGTGGTTGAACAAATGGAACAGTTTGTTCGATTCGCTACTCGTTAATGCATGGCGATTGACAAACAGCTATTGTTGTGCGCGTTTTTTATGGTGAGATAAAAACCTTTATAGAAGAAAAAATAGATATCTTGATTTCATTTTCAAGTGTATTCCTAAACAGGGTTATACAAGTATTCTTAAATTATGGAAATCACAACTTTAAGTTCATAAACGCGCTATGTCTTTCATTAAATCATTTAAAATATACAAATTTGTATCTTAAACAAAGCCATTCATTATGTTGCTTTAAGAATACAATTACACCTGTGGCGTGCATAATAACAAATGAAATTATTTCTAATCTAAATTAAATTGTACTTACATGCTCAGATATTTCGGAATTGAATTTTTAATTTTTGTGTGTATAATCTGAGGAAAACCAAACACAAAAGATACTTCGCGTGTTGCTAACTCTCACACCAAGTAATCTGTAAAGTAAACAGTGTAAAATTTGCATTAAAATTAAATACCACTTTGAGATTAAAAATTTTATAAATGGCTGTAGGCAGTAAGGAAGCAATTTTGTAGAAAATTATTAAAAGCGTTTACCGTGCAGGGCAAAATATACAATACAATGGGTAGAGCACAATTTTACCTAAGTACATGAATATGTGTAAGTGTATGCTTTCTTATTATGCTGTCAAACAATAGGTTGTACAAAATATATTTACATTTAAGCTGTACAAATAGAATTTTTCGGAATCCCGAAATTTATTGGTCCCGATTTTCGGGATTGTTAGTTTAAATATCTGAATTACTTATTATGGTTCGGTTTTAATTATTTCGCTGCAAAAAATAAAGAATTTTCGTACAGAGTAGCAATTATCCCGAAAATGTGCACATACTTTTAAACCTTTAAATACCCAAAGTTTTTACGATAACTATAATGCTAAATATGTAGTGCCGGATTAAAACTCAGGAACAGGTGCAACGGGCCTGCTTGCTGGATCCTGAAAATCTCAATTTGACACTTACCACATATCGTTTGCACTTAATATTTGTATTTTTTTATAAATATCGCATTTTACAAAAAATCTGTATTTTGTGTTCACAATTTATAACCAAAAACTTACAAAAAAAAAAAATCAGGATTCACAAATTTTGTTGTTTGAATTTATATCCCTGCTTGTGCGAATATGTTCCTTCAACTATTAGTCGCAAGTGGGCAATTAGCTCTACATGAAATGAGTATATGATATATATATTCACCTTGCTACTGGCACACAAACAAACACAGCTCACACCAATTGAAAATTTCGAACTCAAAACCGAAATCCCTATTCGCATACCAACTATCAATTTGGTACGCTACCTTTTTGAGTATATGCCATTAGTGTGCATCAAAAGCCATAAAATTCCCGGCGCCATGCTGTCAGCTAACTTTCTGTGTCGCCGCAAGTGTATGCATGTATGTGTGTGTGTGTGTGCTAATGTCCTGCGACAAGCTAACGACAATGGCGTCAATTTCTAACCATTACCAATAAGCAATGCTATGCGCTGCTATGCTGTGCTCTGCTATGCTGTGGCGCGGCCACCGAAAGTAAACGCGATTTTATGCCATTTTAAATGGTTGACAAGCTTTTTGTAAAACACATATTGAAACTCGTATGGGTGAGCCGCACTGAGTCAACCGGGGGTTGAGTGCTGGGCGGTTGTCATTCGAATATAATTTTTGATCGTTTGATAGCTCGACATACCAGTCATTGTCTTTTCGTTCGCTATTTGTGCGTTGAATAACAATTTTTTGGGATTTGCGTTGCCTGCTTTTAGGCGCAACGCATAAATTCCTTACAACTTCACACATTCACATTTATTTGCATTTTGTAGGAAATTTTTCACTTGCACATACAGACACACACACACACCCCCACACTCACAAGGTATTTGTAGACTATTTTGCTCTCAGCTGGATTATGGGTAAAATCCCTTCGTGGAATTTTAATGGGCCTGTGCGCATTTAACTTTGAACTTTCATTTTTACGAACACACACACATTGATGCCTTGAGGTTGCGCGCGTCTGCATCTACTCAATCGGTGACAGCTGCTTAAAATTGCTAACATGTGATTGAAGTTGGCTGAAACATTGGCCTACGGCAGCGCGCATAAGTCTACATCAGCCACCTAAGCTCGTCTCACACACCAGCACACACACGCTCAGAGCTCCCACATAAATATGCAGATGCGGCTAACTATCTCGCATCTTCGATTGACGTCTTCCTCCTGTCGCACGAAATTTAATTAGTTAGTATGTGCACTTCCGTTGTGCGCCAAAAACTCTATAAAGAATTTAATTATGCGAATTTTGTTGCTGTAGAATTGTTGTAAAATGAATATGTCGTGCACGTGGTCTCGCAAAGGCAATTCATTGTGAGACGTGCACGTCGTTTAGCAAAGAAAATCGTGACGAAGTAGCATATGAAAGGTGCTGAGCGACACGATTTAGAGGTCATTTCATAAGCGACACGTTGCTTGACAGTCAGCAATGACAGCAATGTGTCTCAAGTGAAAAAAAAATGATTTAAACATTCAGAGGCGTCACTAAATTAAACGTTATTTCTAATAGCTCCCGACGACATTAAATGAAGCTCAAATCAGCAAAGTAGGCCTCAGTAACTTTTAGTTTCAAGAACTTAGCGATGTAAACTGATAACTTCTCGTAGTCCAAAGAGCGCATTCAAGGGTACTCAATCAGATATAAAAAAAAATTAATAGGTATATGTTTTGCATACCGTTCTTTCCTTTTTATATTCACACTCAGGATTATATTTGACGTGGAGTGGTCCATTCAAACTGTGTGTGCAAACTGAATCAAGTTTTTTTATGTTCGTGTAAAGTTTGATTTTCATATGTCAATCGGTGTGTGTTTGGTAGATGTTGTTTTCGACACGAAAAGTTTGTTTGGCGATTTGTATTATGAAAGAAAAAACTTAACCAGTTTGCTTGAAATTTTAGTATTTCAATGGAATCGTTGAAAATATTGCAAAAGTATTGTGTAGAGTCTACTATTTTACGATCACAAGTATTTGAGTGGCACAAAGCATTCATTGAAGGTGGTGAAGTCATCGAAAACTTGCCTCATACGAGTCATCCACCTACCGCTGCTAATGCCGATAACATCGAAAGAGTTAAATAAACAGTGCTTGAAAATCATTGTGCTGGTATTCGAGTCACAGCAGAGGAGAATCTCAACATCTCTTATGGATCGACGCCACTATTTTGATTTTAAACGTTTGACTCGTACCAAAAGACTTGAATGAGACTGACAATTTAGCCAAAAACGAAGCGAGTCTCATCACTCAGCCATCGTATTCGCCAGATTTTGCTGTCTGTGATATTTTTCTGATTTCGAATCTCGTTGCCCGACTAAACTAACGTTGTATTCACTTATATTAACTAGGAGTATTTAAATAAATATTTCATGTAAACCTTTAACCCCAAAGCTTGAACCCTTTCGAACCTCCGTTCAACGTTTAATAGAAGTGACCGGCACCGCCTTTAAACCAATTTTCATAGCAGCGACAAAAACGTTTTGAACTTTTTGGGCTGCGTACTACATTGGCTATTAGCCAAAAATCATACTCTCACATATACGAGTACATACATATATACTCTCCGCACCTCTCTAAAAGGTTTGCTCGTATATGTAGACATCACAAAAACCAAAAAAAAAGTTTAACTTTGGCTGCACCGAAGCTATAATACCCTTCACAGTTTAAGATTTTTCTTACAAGAACTTGATTTTGACCAGTCAGTTTGTGTGGCATTGATTTTTATCGTTCAATTTTAATAGTAGCTATATTCCATAGTGGTGCGATATCGCCGGTTGCGACAAGGACGACTTCTTAGGGTGAAAAAATCGTGTGCAAAATTTCAGATCGATATCTCAAAAACTAATGGGACTAGTTCGCATATATACAGATGTGCATACATACATAACTAAATAAACCCGGCTCGTCACGCTTGTCATCATTTATTCATACGCTTTATAGAGTCTCCGACTTTATTTTTTATTTTTTGTTGTTACAAACTTCGTAGCAAACTTAAGATACCCTATGCAGGGTATTGAAAATAGTTAAGACAATGGCGATTGTGATAACAAATTTTCGTGATATTCTCAGCTCCATCCAACCCAACTATCCAAGCTCACTAAGCTTTTGTACAATTTTACAAACTTTTAATGGTTCATAAAATATTGATGGTAATGACAATAACTTGAACATTGAACGGTCAAATGAACGCTTCCCCAACTACATCTACAGAGAGCGATTGAGCGTAAAGGCAAAGGCAGCCTAAAGAGAAGAGTAAAATTTTGAGCCTGAACGGTTAGTCTCGTTGTTCGTGGTGTGAGTCACATGCAGCTTGTAATTGACAGCACAAGAGTGCTGCTGGCCTTTCGTAAGTAGAACATGTTCACCTGGCATGTCGGGATTTGTTATGCTTTAATGAAAGTTGGACAAGTGGGTAAGTGTTCGTATTGAATTACACGACTTCTTTACGTCGACATTTTCTGCCTAATTTGGCTGTTTTAACTTGGTACTTGTTCAATTACCATTAACATAGCAAAGAATTGGAAGTGCCTGTCTTCGCCGGATTTCGTTAATATATTTTAATTGTTACTGTTTGAGTTAAATAATTGCATTTTTACAGCTTTTTGCTAATATGCGATAATGAGTATGTCTAAATTTTAGATTAAGTGCAATTATTAGTTTAGACTTTTCTTTGAGTGTAGAGCAAGAGCATATTTAAAAAGCTGGTTGTGGCTTAATAGAATTATGTGTGCTGAACGCCGCCAATTAACTCTTCTGACTTTAGGACAATAGGTTAAAAATTAACACGGTAGTAATTTACAGTTAATAGCTAAAAATACCGAAAATATGTCGCTAATCTTTTTCTAGCACAGTAATTTTAACTTTAATAAAGAGGCTAAATTTAAAATATTACAAATACCTTAACTAGAAGATCGGAATTCATTATATTAAAGATGTGGGGGTTAGAACTAGATCTAGACCAACTCTCTTCATATTCAGCGCTAAAATATTCATATAATTGTTCATTAGAAAACTTGTCCATTACACATTTTGATCTACCTAAACGGTTTAAAAACAACTGCAATTGAACTGTCACAAATCACTATATTGGGTACAGAGAAAGATCTGGGCTTGTAGCATTAACCTTTCACATTGCTTAGGTATACTCGGGAACATATTTTCTAGCAATTTTAAAAATAAATAACTCCATTACTTAAAAATCACACTCAATCAATTTCATTAAAATATACACATATTGGCCGATACATGCGGCATAAAGTCAGCTGGAAGTTCGTAAATGTTTCCATAAAGTATATGGAGGCTAAGAGATGTTTTGATCCGATCCGATTCAATTCATTTTTGACACACAGACATACTATTATCAGGAAAGGACTCTCTC